TGAATATAGGAATGTGTGTGCAGGTGCCTGTGGAAGCTGGAAGGGGCCAGATTCCCTAGAGTTGGAGTTACAAGTGGTTGAGAAATATCTGACATGGTACTAGGACTCAAACTCAAGTCTTCTAGAAGAGCAGAAAATGTTTTAAACTACAGAGACATCTTTATAGCTCTCCTGGACTGATCTCTGCTGCGGGATATTTGATTGCACTGTGCCCCCCTGACACTGTGTTAATAAAGTTAACTTGAATCAGGGGGTGGAGCCAGTGACTAGTTAACAAGAATTAGTGTGCTGTGCCCATACAGGTGCATCTGAAGTACAGTGGTTAATAGCAGGTGCTTTTTACTATTGTGTTCTACCTTACTTTTAGAAACAGTGTCTCTCACTGAACCTGGAGTTTGCCATTAGAGCTACATTGGCTGGACAGTGAGTTAGCCCCCAGGATCTACCTCTCTCCACACTCATCCTCAGTACAGGGGTTACACAGGTATATGTCTGGCTTTTGTGGGTTCTGGGGATCCAAACTCAGATCCTTGTGCTTGCTCAGTAAATCCTTTTAGCTAATGAACTATCTCCCTACCCCCAACCCTGTTTTTAAATTAGGTCCAAGGTGTTGTCTTGTAGGCAGAGTTTCCTGTCCTGACTGCCTGCTCCCAAATAACTGGCAGCTGCATCCCAAATAACCGACTTGGAGACTTAATATAAATTATAAATGCTCAGTTGATAGCTCAGGCTTGTTATTACCTAACATTGGTGAAATTATTAAGGCCACTCCACGTAGTTAAAAGGGGGGTTTATTTTGTGGGATAACTTACAACTGAAGGGATTGGTTATAGGGTCTGGGAAAGGTGTAGCACAGTCTGGTGGTGTTCTCTGGAGAATACTGCTTGGTCTACCTCCAGCGTCCAGGGTCCAGGAACCAAGAGAGCTCCCTCCTCCGGATCGGGTCTTCAGGGGGTCCTCTCGGATCTGCCTTGTAGACATGACAGTTACCAAAGCCTCAATGGGGGTTGGGACTTCCAGATCAAAGCTGGAATGGCTACCCACTACAACCTAAGTCTTACATTAAATTAGCCCATATTTCTTATCTATGCTTTGCCACATGGCTCATGGCTTGTTGTCACATTTTCTACATGTCCTGCTTCCTTGGTGGCTGGCTGGCTGGCTGGCTGGCATCTCCTCTGACTCTGCCCTTCCTCTTCCCATCATTATCCTAGTTTGGTTGCCCCGACTATATTTCCTGCCTGGCTGCCGGCCAATCAGTGTTTTATTAAACCAATTTGAGTGACAAATTTTTACAGTGTACAAGAGTATTATTCCACAGCGTTGTCTTTTCATTTTTTTCTTCAACTACACCCTCAAATTCCAGTTTCCATACCATCTTCATAGACGTAATATTAGTACAGATGGAGTCAATCCTACCTCCCCTGTCTGTCTTTTTCTACTGTTGGCTCATGAACATTCCTGGGAGGGAGATGGCAGAAGTGAGGTTTACTGAGATTCCGAGAAAGTTGTACTCTGCTCCTGTGAGTAGGATCTCTTGCTCATATCCTACTCTACTCTCCCTACCATGACAGAAGCTGGGGTACTTTACAAAGCATTCAAAAACCACAAGGAAAGTAGCATGTTACTATGAAAGGTAGAGCAGATAGAAGAAGGAAGCAGAATAGATCCAAGAACGTGATTGGACAGCTCAACGGTTGTCTTTTCAAGTCATGGAAGCCAGTAAGTCTTATTGTTAAAGTTGTTTGAGGCAGGTAACCTGTTAATTTCAGCAAAAACCATCTTACCATGGGAAAATATGAGTTTTTAAAAAATCTGTTATTTAGAGATAAAAGAATCAGTGGAGAAGTAAAAAACTACACATTAGAAAAAAAGGGACAACTGAAGTTTCTAGATGGGGGTAAGGAAGAAGGTGGAGGAGCATTCTGAGGAAGATGATGAGAAAGAGGAATAAGGATAGAGACATTTGTGAGTGGAGTTTAGAATGCATTTGATTTGGCTTTGATCTCAACATAATCTAAGGCAAATACATCCTCTGAAATGATCTAAATGAGGTTACAGATTTTTTTTTAAAAAAAAGTATCTCTAGATTGTTTGGCCAGATCAAACACTGTTTCCTTTAGAGCTGGTTGAAGCAATACATACACAGCCTCACCACATGCCAAGCCAGAGTATGTCCCAAGGGCTGTGGCAGCAGTATAGACGGAGGTGGGCAACTGCCTCCATTCTGTCACTTTGCCTTCCCTGTTCCTGCCAGTTGATGAGCAATCTCCCCCTCATCTGTGTCCAAAGACTGCCAAACCATTTATTAACCCCAGGAAAGGGAGTTGAGACCACAAGGGAGCCAGTGCCCTCCCAGGCCCCTTTTCTTCAATCTCCACCCCTGGCTTCCCAAAATGAACTCCACAAGTCAACTCCTCCACCCATAAACATACTCCTTGACATTTTGCATGATCATATAAAAATACAATATATGTAGACATTTTTCTTTTTCTTTTGAAATTGACTTGGTTCCAAAATCTCTGTGCTGCTTGCATTGTATATTATAGATGTCTTTTCAGTAAAAAGAAAAATCAAAATATCTGGAGAATATTAAATGCTTGTACTAAACTCTTCACTAACTTCTTTCTTCTGCACTCAAGTTGTATTTGAGAATGTGGTGTTTTTTTTGTTTTTTTTTGTTTTTTTTTTGTTTTGGATACTATATTAAGCCTTAAAGAGATGCATTCCATTTTTCTTTCCAGAAGCAAGCAATTCACCTCTGTATTTAAAAAAAATGTCTCAAAACAGCAACAGCTAACCTGTGTAAATGTATTGTGGGTTCAAATATAATGAATTAGAAATCCTGTTGTACAGTTCAGCCAGCAATACTTCTAACAAAACCAAATCACATGAAGCTTGATGACTGTGGTGACGACTAACAGTGACAATAAATAGTCTAGACCTGGAACATGCCCATAAGGCTTAAGTGTTAACAGCATGTCCTCAGCTTGATGCTATTAGGTGATGGGAACCTTCAAGAGGTAAGGTCTAGTGTGACATATTGCAGAATATTTGTTTACACTGTGAAGATGTGTCTTTGCCAAGGCACCTTGTGATTGGTTTGATGAAGAGCTGAATGGCAAATAGCTAAGTGGGAAGAGGTTAGGAAGAACTTCTTGGGACAGAGAAGACTCTGGAAAGAAGGGAGGACTTACTAGCCAGGCATGGAGGAAGCAGAATGGGTAGTATGGAGTGATGAGGTAATGAGCCACACAACAGAATGCAGATTAAAATAAATGAGTTAATTTAAGATATAAGAGCTAGTGGGACAAGCCTAAGCTAAGGCCAATCTTTCATAATTAATAAGTCTCTGTGTCATTATTTGCAGGCTGGTGATCCCTATGAGAAAGCATATTTCAGGGACATTTATGGTTTTAGTTGGGCCTTTGAAAAGGATTGTAGAACACCGTCTCTTGTGCTCGCTCTCTTTACTTTGCAACTGCCATAGGGTGAGAAGCTTACTCAACCACATACTTCCTGCCATGATGTATCACCTTGTCACAGGCTTAAAGATAGCCATCCAACCATGCGAACTGCATGAATAAAACCTCCAAGACTCAGGGCCACAATGAACCTTTCCAGTTTGGAAGGTGATGATTTCAGGCATTTATTAAGTTGTAACAGAGAGTTAATATGAGTTATAAGCAAAAAGCAGTGACAGCCCAGAGAATGGGATGGTTGAGTAAATTAAAAAGGCTACCAAAGGAACTTAGCTGAACTTTGAGAACCAACAGAAACTTGTCAGTTTAGCTGCAAGATATGACATGCTGTGCTCTGTATCCCACTTAATACCATTGCTCCACTGTTCTTTCCAATTGTTTCCTTGTTTTCTCTAGTGTTAACAGAATTCCACCTAGTACTGAAATTCTAAGCTCTTCTAATTGACAAGAAATCACAAGATAGGGATTAACTGTTCTCTCTTCCTGAAGCTTCTAAAGGGCAAACACCACTCGACATCATAAAACAGATCTTCCAAGTATTATTTCTAACAAAGGATTCTTGTAAAGTCCCTTGACTTCCAAGCCTAAAGCCTGCTGTTGATCTGCCCTAAAAGATCTTTCATTCTAATAGGTTGTTTTATATAATGCATAGTTGGAATCTATATCTTCCTACATCATTTTTAGGGGCTTTTCTCCTACAACTGTTAAGGAAATAGAAGGGAATAAAGCTTGACTCAACTATTTCTTTGAATAGTGTCAATGTTTCCAAATACTGGATAGACAATACAGACAGATGCAGAAAGAATTATGGTACAGTACTGGAGAAGGCAATTCTATTAGGACAAATCTGTAGAGAAAAGTCAAAGAGAAAGGTAGATAAGCAGATTAAGTAAGTAGGTCATATGACAAGCAATGGAATTAACATATTCTTTCAGAAGTGATAAGGAGGTATCACAGATAAATGATGCACACGAGGCCAGAGAGAAGGCTGAGCAGTTAAGACCATATACTGCTTTTGTAAAGGACCCAAGTTCAGTTCACTGCACCCACACAGAGCAGCTCACAACCACCTGGAAATCCAGTTCCAAGGGATTTGATGACCTCTTCTGGCCTCCATCTTTACAAGTACTCACAGGCATGTAACTACATAAAAATGTACACGATTAAAAGAAATCTTTTTTTCAGGAAATGAAGTACATGATTAGACAAGCATGTAAGCTCATTGTAGGAAGTGGCACTGGTAGCTTGTTCCAATATTATGTGACTTTTTTTTCCTTTTAAAAAAGTGCAAACTGTGTAACTTGAAACTTTCTTTTTAAATTATTCTGAAATTTGAGTTTTTAAGATCGTTAACCATTATCTACTTCCCATCAACATATAACATATATTAATAAAATCACAGACACTGTTGCAGTATGAAACATGAAGCAGTAATTGCTCTAGCTCCGCTAATTAAACTCCTTTAGTAAATAATCATACTAAAACCTCCAACCACCCAAACAAAAAATTCTAGTTCTCTTAAAAGATATTTATAAAGTTTTATTTTTTCCAGAAAACCAAAATAATTGACTCAACAATAAGTACAGTTCTTGCATGCAGCAAACCATCATTTAACATGTTTATCTTAACATGAATTCGTACTTTATTTTCACTTCTACAGTTCCCATAAGAAGCTTGCAATGATAATAAGGTAAATATTTTGTTACAGGTACTTCAAATAGCACTACAGTACATCTCTTGACAAAATTTTTACAGTATTCCAACTTTCAATATGAAACAGCTTTAAAAGGCATGAGCCAAAAAAAAAAACCCACCAAAAAACAAACCAAAATAAACAAAGCATCTTATTATTACTCAGGCAAAGATTCTTAGTTATACGAGCACAACATTCAACTCTCCCTGTTTAGGTGGGAAAGAAATATGTCAGGCATTTCCCTTCAAATAAAATTATATAAATAATTTGGGAAATGCTCAAATCCATAATTTTACACATTAAATATTCTTGAACTTTTACTCTTGGAAAACATGAACTATTTATGCTTTGCTTTTATGCAAAATGTCCTGCAAGAGTTCTGTGCAAAGACAATTCTGTAAACCATATCTTGCTTGTGCTGGAAAAACACACCTCAAATCTCAAAGAAACAGAAGAGAAGTTATTCCTTCAAGCATGTGGCTCTCCTCTTTAGATGAACATCTCTACTTAAAAATAGGCACATCTGTATATCATTCAGCTATTTTACTCATGCCATCACATTTTATCTCTGTAAATTAAACCCAAGTTCATAAGATTCATGTGGGTTGAAAGTTTTTCCTTTTTCCTCCCCTCACAAAGTACAGCTCTTACACCATGATCAATGTTTACACTTACTTAACTGCCCACACTTCTAGCAGCAGGCTTTTGACTATATTTAAGTGTGCTAAATACCCACCCATTTCTTTTCACCTCAGAACAGTTACTCTTTTTACTGCTAGACGATGTTAGTCAATGATTTTACAAACTGCCACAAATGTGAAGGACAATCTGTGACTGAGATACTTCTCTCAAAGATTAAGAGTAAATGAAATGTTTTGTCAAATCATGACAATACTGTTTAGAAAAAAAATGATGCCCTGAACTCTAGCAGCTCTTATTCCTATACAGGGACAATATCCTTACTAACTGAAGTAACAACAAAGATTAAAACAATACTATAGCATTAGTGTCTTTCACAGAGGTGTGAAAACAGAAACTACATAGCTATCACCATTTGATCAAATTTGGCAGAATAGACTTAGTTAAGCCAGGGCCGCTCAGAGCCGTTAAAGCAAAGCTTTGTTCCTGGCTACTGCTCCCAACCACTAATGAGCAAACAGGTGCACTGCATTTAAGTGTCTAAAAAGATACAACTGCAGACATATCAGAAAAGCTCATGGCACTTGGGAAATACCCGTGTAAATGTAAACAGTTTTGGATGGTAAATATTCACGGGTGTAACCCACCTTTTTCCTATGTTTCAATTCCTTAGGGAAAAATAACAGCAGCCTAGATGGGGAGGGGACACTTCTGACTAAGAAGGTAAAATTGCCAGTCTCAAAAAAATCACTATGAAAAAGCTGTAATTCCCCCCATCTGTTGTCCTTTTATCTTTTAACTTATAAGAAAAATGTTTTGCAATAGAACTCAAGGAAGTGTCCATGTAAAATAAACTATGGCAGGTGATTTACTATAGCTGAATGGCAATTCTGGCCTCATTTGGGAAAATATATAAAGACACAATGTCTTAAGGAGTAATTCAACAAATCAGGCCAAACTGATGATGGATTCATACCTTTTAATACAACCAAAGTTATACACTGACAACCTTCGATACCTAGTTATGGCATATGCCTTCTCAAGTCATTCGGCTGTTTTTAAAACACTGATTTTATTTAACTTACTCCTTATTATGCAAGACAAGCAATTGCCTATGCAGCCATTCTCTAATGTAGGCCTTCAGCAAAATGTCTCAGAGGATATTATCTCACCAGAGGCCACAGATGCATCAGTGGTTCTGTGTTACATAACTGAAGCTAGAACACCTACTTCCTCCTGTGGCCGTTCTTTAAAGTGAGTGAGCTGATGTCTCTTCCAGTGAGGTGCTTGTCTGAATGTTTTGCCACAGACTGAGCACTCAAATGGTTTCTGCCCTGCATGGATTAAATAGTGTCTTTCTAGTTTGGACGGAGACCGGAAATTTTTACAGCACACACTGCACTGGTAAAGGAGCCCATCACTTCTTTCAGGACGGTCTAAATAACTGTAACAGTGACGGCTCTGCTCTGACTCCAAAAGTGTGTTAGTGAGGTAAGACTGCCTGTTCCGACAGTGGGGACCGAGAATGAAATCCTCTGACTCCGCCTTGACTTCAGTCCCCGAGACCTGATTGGACTCTGAGCCCTCATACTTGTGAAAACTAAGCCCCTCACACTGTTGGGAGGCATTATAGCTAACATCATCACTTGGATGAACAAAAAGTTTGTTCACATTTCCAAAGTCCACTTGCCAAAAGGAACTATAGGGAATCTTTTCAATATGAGTTAGTTTATGTCTTTTTAAGTGAGCCGACTGTCTGAAAGATTTCCCACAAACATTACAGCCAAAAGGCCTCTGTCCAGTATGAATTAAATAGTGTCTTTGTAGTTTAGAGATAGAAGGAAACACTTTCTCACATTTATCACAGGGGCACATTTTATGTCCAGTATGTATATTTTCACTTGAATCTGAAAACCCACATTGAAGCATGTCACAGTTATTAAAGTATTCCTCACCTGATGAACCAAAGATTGACAAGTCTTTATTATTCACAGAACCATCCATAGTTAATAGGCTTCCTGTTGTAAAGATACCTTGCAAACTTTTACCCATATTTTGGCTCTGAAATTGCTTTTGCCAAGAAAATGGCAACGTTAGTGCTTTCTTCTTCTTTTTGCTAACTGCCTTACATGATCCATGTCTGCCAAGGGAACCCACACAAATTCTCTGAGTTTGTTCCACGTTCTGCTCACCAGGAGTACGTTCGCAATTTTTCAAGCAGTTGCTTTTAAATGTTCTTTTCTCTGATTGAAGGTTATCTGATTTTTTACCCCCAGCACGTTTAAGTTTAGCCAAGAGCTTTTTAACAACGGTCTTATAGTTACAGCTTCTTTTGAGCCTGCTTGGAATTCTGCCACCTCTGGCAGGAAGACACTTGTGTCCTTTGAGAATCTGCTCTGACTCAAAGCATTCTTCACACTCTGAACACTGAAAAGGGACGATATAAATAGAGTGGACATCAAGAGGATTATTCTCCTCAGATTCACCCATATCACCATTTTCAAAAGCATCCTGCTTTGCATTTAATTTATTAGGTAGGGGACATGATTCAGGACTCTTTACTTTTAAAGAGAGATTCTGAAAAGTCTTATTCCTAGTGTGGATTTGTTTATGCTTCAGAAGTTTGCTTTGAATCTTAAATCCTTTTTGACAAAAACAACATTGAAAAGGTCTTTCTTCTGAATGTGTGAGTTGGTGGATTTTTAAGTGAGTTGACTGTCGGAAAGATTTACTGCACAGGACACATTTAAAAGGCCTCTGCCCAGTATGAATAAGTGCATGCCTATCAAGTTTTGATTGTGATGGAAACATTTTGCCACAGATTGTACATGCATGAATATGCTTTCTTCTCTTTGTAGTGCTGTACGTGGGATCAGACTTAGAGCATGGGTGTAGTGCCCGTCTTTCCTCTGCAGTGAAAGTATTATATACTCCATACACAGGCTTCTCTTGCTTGGTCTCAAGCAATCTTCTGACTTTAACATCATTGTGATAGGATTCATTGTGAAGCTGCTGGTGCTTCACAAATGTCTTCAGATTTTTAAAGTGGCGTTGGCAAATATTACAACTAAAAGGCAAATTGTGAGTTAACTGGTGCCTCTCCAGATGAACTAATTGTCTAAAGTTTTTATGACATACGTCACATTCAAATGGCTTTTGACCGGTATGAATGAGATAATGCCTAGCTAATTTTGATGGTGTTTCAAAGTGCTTGAAGCAAATGTTACAAATGTATGGTCTGTTCCTAGGTAGTTTGTTGGCTACACGTTGCTGAATCTTCAGCATTTTTAAGTTGTTTTCAGCCATCATATTCTTCAGTGTCATACTTTGACGAGCTCCATGGTGTTCTTAAGCTCCACAGACATCTACGAATTTAAAAAAAAAACCAAAGTATTAATTTTAAGATTTGTATAAAGGCAAATAATTTAGTTGTCCATAGGCAGAAGATTAAAAGGAAGGGAGAAATTGGACTTTCTTGTGTTTCCAAGTAACTTAACAACCATCTTAGATGAATTCTTTAGAATCATAGAACTAATTTTAAACAGATATAATTCTTGAGTTTATCTAAAGTTCTACTTTTCTACTTGATAAGCTATATTTAAAAAGGACCAGACTTGATTTTTAAGATTAAATAGCCCTTTTAGTTCCAACTTTCTTCCTTCATTATTAGATGTGTCAATGAGTTGGTTGTTCATAAAAAAGAAGACGAAAAGGAGGAGGAGGAGAAGGAGGAGGAGGAGGACTATCAGTAGTAGTAGTACCTGGTATTGTGGTACATTTCTGTAAGGCCAGCAATCCCAAGTTAGACACAGGAAGGATCATGAGTTTGAGGCCAATATGGACTATCCAGCAATTTCAGGCAAGCCTCAGCTAGTGAGGCCCTGTCCTAATAATAAATAAATATTTTTACATTAATTAAAAGGTAGATTTAAAATATTAAAAATAAGACATATTGGCATTGTAGTATAACACATACTGTAGCCATACTCTGAGCATAGAACATTTCATTTATTTATATTTAGATGGTTGAACCACAATGTTAAAACTGTCTCTTCTCAATGGGCTTGATGGCACATGCCTTTAATCCCAGCACTGTAAGTTAAAGTCACCCCGATTTACATAGTGAATTCCAGGATAATTAAGGCCACTCTGATTTCTATAATGAGTTCTAGGATAGTTGGCACTATAAAATGAGACCCTGTCTCGGAAGAAAAAAAAATAAAAAATAAATAAATATTTACTCTCAATTATTTCTCAAGATCAACAAGATTAATATTCACAGAAGACTTGAATTTTAATCCTAAATTTGTCACTATATAAGTTGTGTGTCAGGAAAAAGGGAATTCGAGATTCTTTAAACTGGGAGCAATGTCTTCTGCCATACCAAGTTGCTGTACAAGAACGGCAATAATGTATGTGCATGTGTCAGAAAACTGTGATGCACCATAGAAATATGAGCTATTACTGAGCTCAAGATTAACCAGATTCTATGTTGTGACTCTTATCTCCTTAATACTGTAGGTTTCTAAGATAAACATACTAAATTTAGTTCACTTCTCCCTTCTCCTTTGTTGAAGGCTTCCTAACAAAAACAAGTACAAAAGATGAGGTTGACAAATTGCATATTTACATGTGTATTTATGAATACAGAACAGAATGTTAAATGTTGTTCTTTCATCAGACAATTTTCAATATAGGTCATTCTGGCCTAAGATGTACTCTTTACAGATGTCAGAGACATTCTAAAACTTAACAAACATTTCACAATTCTCACATATCACTGTCCAGAAAAGACAAATTTCTTCTCCTTTTATTACTATTCCATTAGCCGTAATTAAGCCAGCAATTAAGACAAAAACTAAACAAAACAAAATTCCATCAGTTCTTTCATTCGAATACATAAGAATTTACAACTCAACAAGAATCACAGAATTCTTTCGGCTGCTGACTTGGCAAATAGTCAACCTATATGTTGCTCATCATCTCAGAAGACAACTTAAATACAAAATCAAACACACTCACTGTACAATCTGAATAAGAAACACAAGCTGAGAGACTATTTTGTACTAGTTGTTTACCATAGTGCTTTTCAAACTACAGGTCCATACTCATCAATGGACTGAAGTCAACTCGGTGGATGATGATCAGTCCAATTTGTTTAACAGAGCATAAAGTCCCATAGCATATACTGTGTAACAAGTATAAAAATTGTTCTCTGAAACTTCAGCTGGAAGAAGTTAAAAGGTATGTGAAAGCTGTTCCTTACACACCTATTCACACAATACCAGACAGGGGAACCTGCAATCCATCAATCACTATGTTCAATGAGAGGTAATCTATTAGGGTGACAAAGATCAGGGGCCATAGGCAGGAGTCCTAAAGAAACAACAGAGTTCTGTTTTCTTCCCACGGGCCGTATTATTTTAAAATATGCATGCAAAATTATTATATTAGTGGTCAAGTGGAAAATGTCATTTAAATAAGAAAGTAAAACAATCGGACCATAAGCCACTCGACTAATTTATAAAATACATCATATAACCTAGCAACAGACAGCTGTTGGGGTTATGGATATTTTTACTTCACTCAGCTAAAAAGAAAAAAAAAAAAGCTAAGAGTAAACAACCTGAAAAAAAATTCCTAAACATGTTAACATAAAGTTAACAGCTATGAGAACTAATACTGCCATAAACCCAGCAAACCACAAAGAACTCAGCAATTTCTTTAATTCCTGACAGGCAATTAATTTAATTCCTGTTGAGCAACCAATGTCAAGATGGTCAATCAGGACAATGAGCCAAGCTTAAATCATCAAACCTTTATTCACTTGCTACAGCAGAGTAAGTGGGACAAAAGGAGTCAGTCCCCTAGTGGACTCTTAACAGAAAGACAGCAAGTGAGTGTTCAATGGACACAGTGCACAAGAGGAAAGCTTCTAACTAAGGGCTCCTGACGCCCACGGGCCGATGTGCCAGGGGGAGGGCTGGTGAATGGCTGGGAAAGAAATGAACTGTACTGTACTAAGTGCTAAGTCTGGTATGGGAAGACAGCTTCTCTCCATGAAGCAGGTAGGCAAAACCTCGTAATTGCCACAGTCAAGCTACAGGGTTTGGGCCTGGAGTAGGGACTTCTCCATTCTTTTTATATACTTCTCCTTCCACTGGGTGACTGTTTCTGTACGATACCACCCCTCTCAAAACAAAAAGTCCCACACCAGAACTACACCAGGCAACGATCTGATTATAAAGAACAGGAACTGGCCACCTACAGCTCCTGTGCCCCAAAAGGGTTTGTGGCTGAGCAGCCATCACTAGTATTAAGACTGGATACTCCTGTCACTTGCTTTGGGAAAGCACTTCATGAGAACCCTACCTTGTCAGAATCATTTGTGGCAAGTGGTGATCTCACTTCCTATTTATAAGTAAAAGGTCAGGGATTTCCACACTCCAAGCACAATCCCCCTGTGCACTTAGAGGTTTAATCTCATTTCAACTGATTTTTCTCTTCTCTCCACTGAATTTGTCATGATTAAAAAAATAAACTAAGGCTATTTTTTTATGTTACAATACAAACTAATGGATGTGCTCAATGACTCGATCCAGATATCATCAAGACAGGAGCTCAAACAACATTAAGCCAGGTAACTATAAAAACGGACATCAATAAAATCCAGTGTTATATCAGGGTTGAAAGCACCATGGTCTTAGCAAATACCACTTAAAAGACATCTCCAATGTATCACAAAAGTAAATGAATAAGAAACAAAACACCTGAGAAAAATGCAACTTCCAGCTCGAGAATTGACATTTACAACAAGCTTAGCCTCCTTCTACCTTGTTCTGCCCATGGCCCACTCCCTTGGCCTTGGACCATCACCTTTCCCTAAACTTGAACTGTTTTCAGCCTAATCTCCCGCAAGCAAAGAGCATTTGGGAGGTCCAACTGAGTTCAGGGGCTGTAAAAATCCCAAGTCTGGCATGGGCAAGGGTGAAAGCTCCACTGACTGCAGGCAGAAGATGGGAAGCTGGGGAAAAGCAGAGTGAAAGATAGGAAACAAGTGATTTGACCCCAGGAGGATGGGCACAGGGCTCATTCTTTTGAGTTTACCGCTCCCACGAAGCACACGCAAGGAGCTGAGGTCGTGGCACCCTGATCGGTTCCCCGGGAACCTCGGCGGGGTTGAGCAGGCCTGACCCTCCCCGGGGTTCATTCCACCTGGCACGCAGGCTCCTGAGGTCCTCCACACGCACCTGGAGCAGGTAAGGGCCCGGCAGCGGCGCATCTCTAAGCCAGAGGTTCCGAAGACGAAGCCGAGAGCGCACGTCCGCGGGGTCGGCGCGGCGGCTGGCTGAGTGCGCAGGCGCGGCGCTCCGGAGTGCTCCGAAAGCGGTCCTGCCGGAAACAGTCTCTCGCGATGTCTGGGCCGGCGCTAGCTTCTTAGCGATCCTAGCGCGTTGTCCAGCCAGTCTTGCTATTGCCAAGAAGAGATAACAAGACGCCCAAAGGCTGCAGTTCCCATCGTACTGTTATCAACCCTTCGTTATGGGAAATCCCAGACAGGACTGACTGCAAGGCTCGGCTCTTAGTGGAATCGAGGGTCAGAGTTCAAAGCCCACTAATGTTTAAGGTCGAGGCTGTGGATAAAATTTCCTGTATTAGGTACATACTGTGTTAGGACTGTTTTCAGCAATTCGTATTTATGTCAATACAACGATGAGGTGAAAGGTTCTGGCCATAGTGCCACACAAAACCAGATTCTTTGTGGAAGGGGTGGAGGTTGGGGGGGGGGATCCCCATTGGTCAGCCATTGGCTAGTTTTGCAGATCTCACTGGTTTTATGTATTTTGAATGTTTACAGTGTACAAAACTCTTTGCCCAGTATTTTGACTCTTTTTTGACAATTTAGATAAGATGCACTTCTACAAAATGCATGCAAGGTACTCAACATCCATTATTATTTTTATACTAAATACAAAAGCTTTATGAAATGATAGGATCTTGTTTTAAGATGAGGAAAGAGGGACTTGGAGACGTTAGGAGCTTAGTGGCAGACAACTAATAAATGACAGAGGTGGGATTTGAATTCAAGTAGCCTAATACCAGACCTGCACTTTCAGTTCACTGTTTCGTCCCAAATCATAGATATTTCAGCATATTTTGTGTACACAAATAAGGGCCAACTGTTGGGGTACAATTACACACTGCAGTGGCATATTGTCACTGAATAAGATGATAAAGTGTCAAAGACTTTAAGAACAAAGACATTAAAGAAGGATTATGGCAGTTTTTGCAGGTTTGAATTATAATTGTCTCACCTTAAGAGAGGAGAAAATGAAAAATTACAAACTTTTCTGACCATAAAGAACTTTTGGGTTACTTCCCAAGGACGTGTGTGTGTGTGTGTGTGTGTGTGTGTGTGTGTGTGTGTGTGTGTGTGTTGGGGAAGTGGGGGTGGGGGGTATCAGTTTCTAATATGAATAAATTTTCCAGAGGGAGAGGGGGGAAAAGCAGTTGGACTGATTTTTGAAAAACCAAGGCTGCTCTGGATGTGGAATTATGGGAAAATGTCTACAGGAAATAAGCTGTTACTTCTTATCAGGGAACCTTAAAGGGTCACAGTTGCCCCTTTCAACAGAAGAATACAAGGAGAAGGAAAGGGAAGAGCTTTAGATGTCTTGAATGCTAATCCAAAGGTGGGGATGTTGTGAGTTCAGACAATTCTTGGAGATTTGCTTCATTTTTCAGGTTCTCAGAAAGTGTAGCCCATTCAAATTATGCAAACTAGTGTATCCATCACTAATCACACAAATCTTTAGAAGAAATAGCAAAGTCCTGAGAGAATGTTACCTGAAATTGTAGGTTAATGGACGGAAGGATCTGTTCCTTATTTGTTAACTGAAAGCCTGACTATATGGTATGAAGGGCGGTTAGGAACTAGATAAAGCATTCTCCAAGGCCATATACCCTTTGTGATGCCTTCTCTGTTTACTCTGAGAACTATCTTGGGAAATTTCTGTAGAATGGGAGGAAATTAATGTAATAATAGCCACCAAGGAAAAGTTCATGGAATAAGATTCAATTTGCATTTAATAGTGGGTAGAAGATGGGTAAATAGAAACTGGGACAGGAGTGAACATGGAAGGTAAGTAAGGATGAATACAGGTCATGAGATAAAAATGGGAATGCACCTTGTTTTAGTTTTAGTAACTTTTCTCTGCAGCTTCCTAGTGTTATTAGAAGTTATTTAATCTTCCTTATCTTCAGCTTCCTGGAGCTGGAGGGATGACTTAGTCTGTAGAGTGTGTATATGAGAATCCAAACTTGAATCTCCAGGACCCTAATAAAAAGCCAGGCACAGCAATGCATACCTGTAATCCCAGCAAACGGGAGGCAGAGACGGGAGCATCCCTGGGGGTTTGCTAGATAGCGACTCTTATCAAATTGGTAAGCTTCAGGTTCAGAGAGACACCCTGTCTCAAGAAAAAAATAGTAAGCTGGATGCAATTGAAGAAAACTATTTTTGAAGCTAACCTCCACATATGTGTGCACACAGAAACTAGCATGTAGATACACACAAAACCCAACGTTATTTCTCATTTATAAAACTAGGCCATAATCTTTTATCCAATGACATATCACATGAAAAACATCAAGGATTCACTTTTGAATATATACATATCAATCAGGCCTTCAACAGTAGACAGGCAGGTATCATGTGATAATAGATCATATGTGGAGTGTATATAGAAGATACAACATCTCAAGGCTTCAGGTGGAGATGGATTCTGAGCTGAGACTCCAGTCAGCCATTCATTCATGTAATGTATATTTTATCAAGTTTTTCCTGCATACCAAGCCTATTTCAGGAATTGGGGAAATATGCAGATAAGTAAAAATGAAATCTGTCAGAGTTAATTTTATGTACTACTAGTGGAGGTAGAAAGTAAAGAGTAAAATAAACAGTAAATATAAGGTTGAACATTGATAAGAGAAGAGCAGAAGTCAAGCACAGAAGTAAGCTATGAAGTTTTGTGGGCAATGCACTGATGGGTTTCAACTGTCAAATGATACAGCTAATAACCCCACTGGAGTCTTAATGAATTAGCTGGATCAGGTTGCCTTGCAGACATGTCTTTGGGGAGGGAGTTGATGTAAGAAGACCCAGCCCATTGTGGGTGGGACCATCCCCTGAGCAGTACAAGAGAGAACACTAGCTTAAAATAAACAAGATTGCATTTATTCTCTCTGTGCCTTTGACTGTGGATGGGTGTCACTAGCTGCTTGAGTTCTGGCTTTGACTTCCTGGAAATGATGGACTGGAAATTAAAATTGTAATTCAAATAATCCCTCCCCCCTTATGTTGCTTTTTGTCAGAGTGTTTGTCCTAACAATACAAATGAAACTAGAACAGGAAGGACTTGACAACATCTGAATGAGTTCTCAAAGATGACAGTACTAAGAAGTTTCCTTACTTTTTTTTTTTTTTTTTTTTTTTTAGTAAAACTCAATAGAAATGAGAGTATGCATGGAGGTAGTACTATAATATAACAGGGTAAGAACTTCCTCCACAGGCAGTTAGGTAGAGAATATGCCAAGCATAGAAGTCAGTGCAACAAAGAGTGACAAATGGGAAACCGAGCAGATCAGAACTGATTGAGTATCAAGTCCAGGAAGGAGAGGGGAATAGCAGCAGTATGGCTGATTCAGCTAATAATTTAGAACAAGTATTGCTCCTCAGGTTGTTTGCAAAAAGCTCAAAAAGATTTCAAATACTAACACTTTCTTGTTTGTCATTATTTACATATGGTTTGAAGATTTCCAGAGGCACAATTGGAAACTTGAGTGTCAATGCTGCTAAAGTGACAGGCCGCCAGGAAGTCACTTCTCTTTTCCTCATTTTGCTTCTTTCATTTTTTTTTTCCTGTTCCTTCTAGAGCAACCAACAAAACCATTTGCTTGCCTCCTTCATGGACAAGCCAGATAAAATCTGGATTCC